AATATTTTTTCTGAGAGAAAGAAAATTTTATATATCAAATTTTTATTTCATATTATATAATAAAAAGAAAATATAGAAAAACATTTAATTTTTCCTTACTTTAATTATCGATAAATTAATATTTACTTGCTAGTACAAAATATAAAACTTATATTAACTAATAGGCATGTAGAGTTCAATACGATTTAAATTTGTATTATGTTATATCAACGGAAAATTATACAGGGTGGTTCTAATGGTAGGATAGGTGGATACGGAGGTGTGATAGAAGTGATAGGAACGCATTGAAAATTTTTATACTATTTACGTATAACAGCACTTAAACCAACTACCAATATTATATTACCGTAACAATCAACAAAGTAAATTTTTCTGTTCAACATAACTAATTTTACTTAATCTTTCTTTGTTGCTTTTTGTAAATATATATTTACAAAACCATTTCATGTGAAAATTAGAAACTAAAAAATAAAGCTTTAATATTTACATAGTTATGGGGATGTGATAGGAAGTGCGCTAGGAGGAGTGATAGGAACTAATTGAAAATTTGTATACTTTTAGAACTGCGCTTGCGTCAACGAAAAAAAAATATATTCTACACATATCGTGCCATTTTTCATTTGGATTTCGATATTTTATTACTTTCAGATAAAAATAGGTATGCGCGTATATAAATTTTATTTATAATATATGCTAATGCCGCTGTGCAGGTCAAATCATTATCTGGAAACTCGTCTGTTAAAGAAGTTAAATGTATCGAATCGGAAAGAATCAAATCACGATTCACTGGTAAATGTTAAGTGTCTGGAATGACAAAAAATATATCTCAACTAAATTGCTTATTACTCTATGTTCAGTCGGATAAAAATGCCAAATTACATCAATAATTCTTTTTTTCAATCAATTCATTTCAATTTCAATTTAAATATTCCATTTTAGGTTTATCGCGATACCTACAAAAGGTTGTCATAAATTTGCTTTCAAAAATACTTGTATGTTCTGGTGTTTCAATATTTTTCCCATAGAATCTGCACTGACCGTTGCAAAAAAATAACTATAGTATAATGATAGTTAATAATTCTGTATATAGGGTAATAACATAACGGATTTGCTTCAGAATGGTTACTCTGTGAAGTCCCTAGGCAAAATTATATCAACTTATAAAACTGACACATTGGTTCACATATATTGAAACAACAGAAATAGTGCATCTACCTTATATTTTGTGAAGTCGTATATTGGGGAGACTAAACGTCCTCTCTAAATGTACGACTCAGCGAGCACAAAAAACATGTACAAAAATGTTTGGTCAAAACAGCACAATATAAAATGGCCGGAAGATCGAGTTGTCCATAGGAAATCTCATTGGAAAAAGCGTAATTTAAAGAAGCCATTTTTATAGCAAACAATAATAACATCTTTTGCAATCCTAGTATCGAAATATCTACGATATAGTAACCACTGATAAAACGCTCCAAAGCAGGTATTCTAATTGGGAACTTCATGGATGACTGCACCCAACTTTTTCACTGGTGAAAAGCCTGGCCTGGCTGCAGTATAAATGCTCAGTACTTTTGAGAATTAGTTTAATGTACACTTGATAACGGTCAGTGATCTGACTGGAACTGACTGGATTGTGTTAATCAAAATAAATAAAGACAATGAATGTCTAAAATTATTTTAGTTGCCATAGTGTAGTCCGTCTAGAAAGTATTCGGAATTTTATATTTATCCTAATTTTAATGTATTTTTTTTCTGTAACACTCTAAGACAACAGCAATCCATCACATAGATTGTGCCAATAGTAGGCTATGACCAAAATCGCATGGCAATACCATCTGTCAAATATTGTTGATAGTAAACCGGCTTAAGATTTGAGAAATAATCTCGCAGGTAAAAAAAATGGTGGAATATTTGTATAGAAAATGTGTTCGAATGAGACAATAAAGGGGATAAAAAAATGGCACAGAAGGAAAAACAATTTAAACGCCTTAGTGGTATTAGGACGACAGAATCCGCGTCCAGTGTTTCGCAAATTGACTAACAGATTTGGAAGTTAGCGAAAGTTAAAAGTGTGTCCAGAAACCGTCCGCATGTCACTGAAAAGACAACGCTACATTATCAAGGAAGCCAAAAAAAAATCTCTGCAATAACACCTCTACAAAGGCAGCGAAGAATGGATTTTTGTCAACGTTTTCAAGAAGATAATTTTAATCATTTTTTATTTCTGACGAAAGTTGTTTCCAGCTTGGTGGAAACCACCTAAAAATCCTATCAAAAGAAACTGTTACCGTTCAAGTTTCAAAATTTCCCATTAAAATAATAGTTTGGGGAGCAATATCTCAGCGTGGAGCTACACCTCTGTGTATAGTTGATGGAACTGTTCATATAACAGCAGCTTTTAACAGAATACTGTTGATGGAACTGTATATAAAATAGAGCAAAATATTGTGATATTTTAAATGGTTTTCTTTTTGAAACGGCTCATGTTTTATATCCAGAGGGGTGGCGTTTCCAACAGGATAATGCAAGATGCCTATACTCAAGCTTGGATGCAAGAACACCATTTGGCCACAATTCCATGGCCAGCAGCTTCACCAGACCTTAGTCCCATTGAAATCATATGGGGACTAATGAAGATTGAAGTGGAACGAGCAGCTCCACGCAGATTTGATTCGCTCAGTTTTACAGGCCTGGACTACCGCCACTGAACATTATGGTGTGGACCTAGTTTCGGGTGTTGGAGTTAAATGGAGGTTGTATCAGTAAATAAAATTAATAATTTGTTATAATTTTTTTAACTCAAATCCTAAAAATATATATCGATAATTCTATTTTGCTTTCTTTTTTCCGGATACTTTCTAGACGGAAATAATTATGCTTATAAAAATATTTATATTTATTTACATAAATATAAATAGTTATATTTATATAAATATAAATAGTTATACTCGTCTTAAGTTTTTATTTATTTATTTTTAATTTTACTAGGACTTTAATTTTCGATGTTTAACTCCATTAAAAAAAGCAATAAATGCGTATCTTGCACTAAATTAAAAAAACAAACGATCCTTGCTCTCAAGACAACGAGCAATAAAGCACAAAACATTTAATAAATTTGACTTTGATATCCACACCACGTCTAGACTTTCCAACGACACGAATAATCCATAAAGAAGACGTATTTCTTATACGGGAAAATTTTCCCCAACGTAATTTTTCCACATTTCAGGTCCAGCGTGGACAACAACGGAAAATGCGGGAGATAGATCGATGGTAAAAAGGAGTAGGCAAAAAACTAACTCTATTATATCTTTGACCTAAAAGTTAGGATGTTCCTTAACATCCGTATGAGAGGATATATTGTAAACACGACTATTCCATCAGAAAGTTTCGTTGGCGACAAACGTTGTTATCCCTAACTTTTAAGGTCACGAATTTTTAACACATTACTTTTTGTTAGCCTGTTTACGCCTTTGCAATTTTAATTATTTGCTTGTATTCAAAATGTACTCAAAAAACATTTTTTTTCTGTGTTCACTTAAGTATCGGATGTGCAGAGTTTCATACTTTAATTTTACTGTCGAATTTCCTAAAATCACTTTGTCCAGCTAATAAACTAATGCCATGATTTATATGTATATACTGTCCTCTAATACAAATAAAAACTAACGAATTCAACAGACACATCTCCAGACAAAAAAACCCTTTGAGCTTTTATATATGGATGGATTCAATATTAGTTAGAGATCAATAAAGTTAGATCAGTATTAGTTAGAGTTATTGGAGGATTGGACTTGGAGTGAAGCAAAAATCCACAGGTTGCAAAAAACAACAGGGTGCAAAAATCCACGTGATGCAAAAATCCACAGGATGCAAAAATCTGCGTGGCGCAAAAATCCACGTGATGCAAATAACCACAAGATGCAAAGATCCACTTGATGCAAACATACACGAGATGCAAAAATCCACAGGATGCAAAAATCCGCTTGATACAAAAATCCGCGTGATGCAAAAATCGACAGGATGCAAAAATCTACGTGATGCAAAAATTAACAGGATGCAAAAAAACACGTGGCGCAAACATTCACGCGATGCAAAAATAGACTGGATGCAAAAAAACACAGGACGAAAAAATTCACGTGATGTAAAAATCCACATGATGCAAATAACCACAGGATGCAAAAAACCACGTGGTGCAAAAATCCACGTAATGCAAAAATCCACAAGATGCAAAAATTCACGAGATGCAAATAACCACAGGATGCAAAAATCCACGTGATGCAAAAATCCACGTGGTGCAAAAATCCACGTGGTGCAAAAATCCACGTGATGCAAATATCGACAGGATGCAAAAATCTACGTAATGCAAAAATAGACAGGATGCAAAAATCCAAGCGATGCAAAAATCAACAGAATGCAAAAAACCATAGAATTCAAAAAACCACAGGACGCACAAAAACACGTGATGCTAAAATCCACAATTCAAACCGTTTCGTTTTTGAGATTGGCACTTTTTGTTCCAGCGATATTCATTGTTAAATATTTCGGAAAACAAAAAATATTTCTTTAGATTTTCTGAAATTAGATATATAGATATAAAGATATGTTAGATATCGGAAAAAGGTTTGCAGGTTTTTTAACATGACACTGTCTCCTCAGTAGAATGCAGATTCTGTGGGGAGAAATAGGGAAACACCATCACTGAATGCGCCGAGAAGACAACCCTGGAGAATTACCCTCTGTAAAACCGTCTCAGATACTGGCTTTTGTCAAAGCTCTGAGACTGTACGATGAGTTATAACTCAAGAAAGGTGGACACAATAGATCTATAAGATCGCGATGATAATATCCAAAATAATTGACTAAGAGTTGCATATTTTTTGCATTTGTTTGCAAATTTTGATGCATTTTTAAATGCACATATTATAGTCTTTTCTGTTTGGTTTGGTTCATTTTTTCTTTGTCTTATTAATGAATATTTTTCTCTTCTTTTTCAGATACCGAATTTATTTTTAAAGATTTTTATGGAGGTATATCGTTGTTTAATGCGGATAATCTCACTACGAGTATTATTATGACAAATATTACACTGGTAAGTACAAAAATAGCAAATTATTACTTATAGTTTTATAGACATCATGCAAACCAAAAAAAGTATATCAGAATCGTTAGTTATAACACTCAAAAGACAAACTACAAGTATTTAGCACTCAATATTTCCCGGCTTTAGAAAACATATTTATTATGCATAGAGAACACAAGAAAATATTGTCATACTGGGAACTAGCAGTACATTGTGATATAGCAGATTTAAATATGAAGCTTTGTGGCCTCCCAAATTATAACTATTATTGTGAAAAGCATATAACAACAATATCGATTTTTAAGAGACATATTTATGCTCATAGAAACTATTAGAAAATCTCGAACTTCATAGGATTGGGAATATCGATGTTGTACCTCAAATTTGGATTTTTAGTATTTATGATGTGACCTTAAAATCAGGTGTAATTGTTTACATAAAATGTCGTGATTCGAGAGCCCTTATGAAGTTAATATGAAATGAACATGTAAAGCCAGGAAGTGAGATTTGGATGGATTGCTGGACTGCATACAAATTTTTAAGTTCTTTAGAACCAGTATCACCATATATCCATAAAACGGTAAACCATTCTAAATACTTCAAGGAACCAACATCAGGTGTACGCACAAACCATGTTGAGGGATACCGGTCACTATTAAAAAATTACTGTGGATTGAATTTGTAGGAATCGCCTAGAATCGCGATAAAATTTGTAGGAATCGCCTACCTAAAATACAACAAAAGTAGCTTAATATATGCTTTGTTACATGAAGTTATATTACAAAAACCCTAACATCAAAGCTAAAAACATTTGTTTATAGATGCCTGGGGCGAATTCTCTGCATATTTTGGCCTAACACAATCCGAAACGAAGATCTATTGCATTTAACTGGCCAAACTGAGATAGGCAAAGAAGTGATCATATGAAAGTAGGGATGGATAGGGCATACTCTAAGACAACCTAACGACATCGCGAGAAATGCCCTTGACTGGAAACCACAGAGACAACGGAAAAGAGGACGTCCAAAACAAACATGGCGCAGAACCGTAATGGAAGAGCTAGCAAAGTCATGGCCAGAAGCTAAGAAAATGGCCAGAAGCTAACAAAAGCCTAATATAAAACCCAATTTATAGATTTTAGGGGGGACCTTAGCCCCATGGCCCCCCCTCTGTATCCGCCACTGAACATATCGGATTTGGATGAGATTCAACTCCTCGAAGATAAATCACATTAAAACCTGTCATTAAACTGATTGTTTAATTCGTTAATTTTTTATGCGAAGCTAGCTTAATATCTATTAATCATACATTTCTTAACTACATACTTCCTTAACAAACTATTTTTACAATAAACAATGTTAGTATAAGGTAAAAAATTACGCAGTGCTTAAAATAAAACAGCGCTGGAAAATACATTTCGGTTGTGAGTGAAAATTCAAAAGGTAAATAGTCCCAAATTAACTGGGTAAGCACCCCCGAGTCCCAATGGGGCCCTTTAAAGCCGCGAAAATACTTCTCTTGCATTATTCACTTTAAATTTGTTTTCGCTTTCTTTCTTTTCTTTTCACCTAAAAAAGAAATTTAACTCATTCAAAACCTCAAATTTAAATGTGGACGAAATTTAAGAGTAAACATAATATTGTTTGTACAAATAAAAATCAGCAAATCAGCTAAAATTTAATTTCTGTTATATTGTTTAACTTATTAAATATTATTTTTCTTTTTCAGAGACAATATGAAGTTGTTGATTTTAAAGTTTCTAACGATTTACGATTCGTGCTGCTTATAAGTGATATAGTCAAGATCTACGAATATTCCACGTTGGCCAAATATCACATATATGAAATTTCTACAAGGTAAGTCCACAATAAACTACGAATAGTAAGAGAGCTAGCAACGTCGGAAAACAAGTATTTTAAGAGGTCTGGCTCTTTGATATATCTTTTACTATGCTCTCTAGAACAGCTGGCTGCCGGTAAACGTTGCGTTCCCTACTGCGCATTGAAAGAAGATATTAGTCCTTTAAGGAGGAGGCTCAGGGCGTAGAGTTTCCGACCACGAACCGATGATTCAGAGTTCGAATCCGGGTCAGGGCAAAGACTTTTTTATTTTATTTTCGTTTATATTCTGATAGTAAAGTATTAAAAAGGTAAAGTATTATTTGAATGCCTTTTTGTGCAGAGGAAGTTTTTTTGCTAATTGACTCAGTCGTAAGTTGTTTTTTCTGTTATACAATTTTAAAATGTTAATGCCTTTTTTATTTATACATTTTAGAAACTGTCCTGATGATGGGAATAAAATTCTCGAAAGCTTGACAAATTTGAAAAAGTAGTTTTATTAGCCTATGTGGTGATTATTGACTGCATCCTCACTTAAATTTTAAGTTTTTTTCTTAACTTAGTCAGTCACGACTAACCTGCTACTTTTGTAAAGTATTAAATATATATATTTTTTTTGAATTATCAGAATTATTTAATACTTTACTATCAGAATATAAACGAAAATAAAATAAAAAAAAGTATTTGCCCTGACCCGGATTTGAACACTGAATCATCGGTTCGTGGTCGGAAACTCTACGCACTGCGCTATGGAGACATGTTCGATTTATATTCAATACTAGAATTTATAGGACTAAATTAATAAAAAATATATGATCTTCTTCCGATGCGCAGTAGTGAACGCAACGGGTATCGGCAGCCAGACGGGCCGCATGCTGTTCCTGAGAGCATAGTAAAATATATATCAAAGAGCCAGACGTCTTAAAATACTTTCTCGAAAACGTTGCTAGCTGTTAGATTAGTAGAACAATATAAAATCATAGTAGAATCAATATAGAACCGTCAATAATTCTTCCATATATCGAGGTGATACCATTCCTCTATACATTTTATCTCCCTAATTACATAAGTTTATACAGGGTGTTTCAAAAACATGTGCCATCTCTCTTGGGAAGATTCCTCACGTAAAAATAAGATTTATTTTTCACATCAACATAGGTCCGATTCTGCTTTGTTTCGTAGCTACAGGGTGTTAAACTCTTAATATTTTTACGATTTATTATAATTTTCTTTCAAGTACTTTTAGCGTTTCGCATGAAATTTTGAGGGTAAAAGTTACTATAAATGAGACGAATTTTAAAGCTAAAAAAGTGTTGACAGGGACGTGCATATGGGGTATCACTGGAATATTAAAAAAAAATGTACGCCTCTGACTTTTTTCTCTTGTTAACGAAATAGTGTAAGCAGTTTAATGCCGATTAAAAGGTGTCTCTTAATATTTTGTCGATTTCTGCCTCCTGGATGAGATAAACGCAATTTTATTAATTTGCCTTGATCCAAGTCTAATAGCAACCTTAAAAAAATAATATCTTTAACTTGTAAAAGTTATAAATAAGTACTCATTGATTCCTCATCAAAGAATATTAAAAAAAGTTCCTACATGGGTATGGAAAGGCATAGTTTTAGAGTTACACGATATTAAAACTTTTTAAAATTAGTTTTTTTGTAATTCTCTTAAATACCATTATTTTTATTTGAAATTGCTGTAGGTTGGACTAATAGTAATAATATTTAATAATAAATTAGATAAAATATATAATTTATTCATTTTATTTTTAATTTAATTTTATTGTGATTAATAAAATTGCGTTTATCTCATCAAGGAGGCCGAATTCCACAAAATATCAAGAGATAACTTTGAATTGGCATTAAACGGCCTATACAATTTTGATATCAAAAGAAAAAAGTCAATGGCGCACATGTTTTTTTTTTAATATTTTACTGACAACCCATACGCACGTCCCTGATGAATTTTTCGACACTTTTTTAGCATTAATACATGTAGCACTTACCGTAACTTTTACCCTCAATATTCCATTCGAATCACTAAAAGTACTTGAAAGAAAATTATAATAAATCGAAAAATTATTAAGACTTTAACACCCTGTAGCTACGAAACAAAGCAGAATCGGACCTATGTTGATACGAAAAATAAATCTTATTTTTACGTGAAGAATCTCCCCACAAGAGATGGCACATGTTTTTTGAAACACCCTGTATAATTTATCATTTTTATTTTTAGAATTAGGAAGCCTCTAAGTCCAAAGGAACTGGACGAGACGGCCCCGTATTTACAGTACGCCGTGTGGTCATCAGACGGCGCTGCTTTGGCTTTCGTTCACAACAACGACATCTACTACAAGCCTAAGGTGGAGAAGGATCTGGTGTGCCGTATAACGAATAACGGGGCCTCAAACACTATGTTCAACGGAGTACCTGACTGGCTGTACGAAAACGAAATTCTGAAAACGGATCACACCGTCTGGTTCTCGGCCGACAACAGTTACCTGTTGTATTTGAGATTTAACGATACGGACGTAGGGGAATACAAGTATCCTTGGTATAACAGCAGAAGTTCGGAGGCTATATATCCTCAGATAAGAAGTTTTCGATATCCACGGGTAAGAATACGTAAATCAGTAAAAGTTTAAAAATAGGTAGGAGGTCTCCCCCAAAAAACGGAGGGTGATGTGGGGAAAATTAATCAGATAATAGATTCATCAAAATTTAAAGAAAGCCATTTGTATACTCAGAGGCAAAAAAAAATATATTTTAATATAAAGTTAGTTCTAATCAGTGTCCATATAACAATAGGACAATAGTCACCAAAACCACCTGGTAACATTAAAAAATAACATCATAAATAAATAAATAAATATACTTTATTGACTACTTTTTGTACATTACATTACAATTGTAGCAAGTCAAGCGGAAATTACATTAGAGTAAAGAAAAACACTAAGAAACAAATAGAACAAACATAACCAGATTAAAATGTATAAACATACGAATATTTTAAATACAAACAATCACAACTATTTACTTGATGAGGAAATGTTGTTAGTGGATTTTACAGTCTCAAAATATTCATCCATACTATAAAGCGCATGCTCTGAGAGAAACTTTTTAATAACAATTTTAAATTTTTTATTGTTTAGATTTTTTACTGGAGGTGGTAGATGTTGTAAAGTTTTACATTCAGAGAGTTCTTATCTGATTTACACAATCGAAATTTATTAGATCTTATTGAACTTGCTAATCTTGTGCCATAGTTATGAATGTCCGAGTTATGGGTAAAAGAAGATTCATTTTTATGTATCTCCAACAGTTGCTGAAGAATATATAAAGACATTAATGTATGTATTTTCAAATTTACGAAAAGTGGTTTACAATGGTCACGAAAACCAGCACCACATAATACGCGGATAGCTGTCTTCTGCATCCTAAAGATCCTCACCGACGCAGACGAGCCACCCCACAAAATTATACCGTAAGAAGTATGTGTATGAAGCAACGAATAATACACATTTATATGTGTTTGATGGTTAAGTGTTCGTTTCATTTTTCTCAGTACAAATAAAGCTGTTGATAGTTTCTTACATACCGTTTCAACATGAAAAGTCCAAGTGAGTGCACTATCGAGTGTGAGTCCCAACAATTTAACCTTTTGTACTACATTGCTACTAGTCGTTGAAAATAATATTTCTTGAGTTTTATCTTTAACTGTAAATAATTTTGAGTAAACTAGAGGGATGCTTTGTTTATCATGTTGCTACTATGCTGTTGCAAATCCTGAATACTGCTGCCAGAGCACAATAAAGAGGTATCATCCGCATAGCATACGGAAATAGAACACATCCATACGGAGATAGAAAAGAGAATAGGTCATTCATATATATAATAAAAAGCACTGGACCAAGGATGGACTCTGAGGGACACCGCTCTCAATCGGACTAACTTCTGACAATGTACCGTCTAAAGAAACGCATTGATTTCTGTGTGAAAGATAAGAATCTAAAAGGCGCAGAGGTTTCCCCCTAATACCGTAGCGCTCTAGCTTTTTTATCATAAGCTCATGGGAAATGCAATTAAAAGCCTTGCTAAGACCATATCGACATGTTCACCCCCTTCAAATCCATCAAGCACTTGTTGCACTATTTTCGTAACTGCCTGGACAGTTGACATTCCTTTTCTGAAGCCATACTGTGCTATATTTAACAATTTATTAGATTCAAAGTCGTCACTTACGCAAGATATAATAATAATTTCAAAGACTTTACCAACCACAGGTGCGATTGAGATTGGTCTATAATTATCGAAGCAATCCACATCGCCCTTCTTAAAAATTGGCACTACTAACAACTACAAAACACCCTCGTCCAGCCAGACATTGAAAAGATAGGTTAACGGCTGAGCCAAACTTCCCGACAGTGATTTTATTATAAAACTGTTTATATCATAATTGTCAAAAGATGTAGAATTCTTGAGGCTATATATTGCGTTTAAAACTTCTTGTTCTACAACAGGTAGAAAAACAAAGGATTTACAACTTAGTAAGATTTTTCCAATAAGTTGTTCTTGCAGTCTATTGTCAACCGATATTTTATTAATTATCTCAGACGCTATATACTGTTGTAAAATATTTATTAAAATCTGTGGCCTGTAAAATGGAATTATTTTTTAAAAATTTATTTTGATTTCTTTCATGATTGATAATATTCCAAATATTTTTAGCTATATTCGTTGAACTGTCAATATAATTACTATATGCGTTTCTTTTACTATCTTTTATACAAGTTTTGTAGTCTTTTTTAAGAGTTTTGTTTTTGTTTCTTTTTTAAATGTTTTTTTTTATTCTTTTCTTTGACCTCTCAATATATATTTTATTTAATTTTTTCTTGGCTTTAGGTCAGGTAAAAATGAGAAAAACGGTTTTTTTATATTAAATATTTCATTGACGTTTCGACCTGGTAGGGTCTTTATCAAAATTTATTACTTGAACGTAGATTGTTTACTTATTACAATTTTATCATTTTCCATTCTGAAATCTTAGCGAAGAAAATAATCTAATATCCAAACATTGGTTTCCACACACATAACATAAACATATCAATAAAGTCGTCACAATTGTAAAGAGACATACACATTTAATGGATTTTACAACACTGGAGTGAACAAATCTCATTTTTAAGAGAAAAAATTAAATATATATATATATATATATATATATATATATATATATATATATATATATATATATATATATATATATATATATATATATATATATATATATATATATATAAATATATTCATATTTTTAGTATAAAGCTGGACATATATATATATATCCCTCGAACCATAGAAAACATCCCAACTTATATATACTAAACAAGCGATTTCAGGTTTTTTAGTAAAAAGCTGGACAGGAATTCTACATCCCTCGAACCACAGAAAACATCCCAATTTAAGTTTAAAAAATCTGTGTTAATTTTTTGACAAGATGTATATGTTACTCTACGAGTCGAGTCTTAATGCTAAAAGGTAATTTTTCAGCCGGTTTTACATGTATTTTAATATATTGACCATAATGATCTGAGAGACCCGGATCGTCTACATCTGATTGGAAATCTAGTTCATTTATATTTGTTATAATATTGTCTATACAACTAGAAGAGGTACCAGCTACTCGCGTAGTAGTTTTTATAAAGTAATGATATAGTCTGTCCAACGACAAAATCCTTGACAGTCATAAATGTGACTGTCATTTTAATTTCAAAGTAGTTTATTTTATTTTACAAAGAAATAAGTTGGTACAATTGGAACACCTAATTGATATATTTAAAATTTGAGTGACAAGTGATTACTTCCAAATGTTGTGAAAAAAATGTATAAAACTGAAAAATCTAATCGAGTTATTTTATTAAAAAAAATTACGGTATGTGTTAATACAAAACAAGCAAGGGTGTATTTTAAACAAAACACCACATGCCAAAAAAATATATAAAAAATATTTCTTACTTTCAAGCTCAAGCAACTTCCTGCATTTATTATTACATTTATCAATTATTTACCTATCGTGTGTGATGTTATTTCACAGATACTCCAGTTTTTGGTACCTATACGAGATGGTATACAAACTTTATTTGTGGCTAATACAATATGAATACATCCCTCTGACACTCTCTAGGCACCGAATATTAACTGATCTAGGTAAACACTTAATTTTCCCTCCACTTAATTTAAAAAAAAAACAGGAAACACAAGTCAACAACACAGTCAAACAACACAGTCCAAAATACAAAATATTTATCATTTCTATTTGACATAGTTTGACACAAAATTATAACCTATAATTTGGCAAGAGTTTGACAACTCTCAAAAATCTTAAGTCGAGTTCATACGTTTCGGCGTCCGTTTGTCATTCATCGTTCCGTTAAATCCTGAAATATGATCTGTCATTTTTGAAATAAACCAATAAAACTAGTTAAATACGTAACAGTGAAATAAATGGATTGGTATGGACGTCATCTGTCGAAATCTTAACTGAGAAAAAAATAGAGTATAGTTAAAAAAAATGCAAATTGTTGCTGGCAAATTTATTTCGCACCTAAAAATTAACCAAGGCATGTGTTGACATGAGTCAAAAAATAAAATGCTCAGGAGACATGGTTCTGATTGAAAAATAATGTTTGTTAACTTGCTCAAGAAATTATTGTACAGGTTGTTTTAAATTTAAGGTAAAAACAACCCTTCAGTTAACCTTGCATAATAAGCTAAATACTAAAATTTATAAAAAACTGAGTTTATGAATTGAAGTTGATAGAGTTATACAGGGTGTCCCAGAAATACGTGCAACACGCCTATGAGGTTTTTTTCGCGAAAAAAAAATTTGAAAATTCTAATTTTTTTTGATTTTTTTTAGTTTTAAAACATAATTCCTTGATAATATGGCAACATAGGCATTAGATTAAATATACAAGAAAGAAAATCCAAAAAAGATCCAGTAGTTCTCAAAATTTTAGCAAAAAATCATTTTTTTGGAAATTTTCAAAGTAAAGTAACTCCGTTATTTTGGATTTATTTAAAAAACGATAAAGAGAAAGTATGTTTCTTTTATCGGGATCTATCACCCCTTAAAATACTTGCACATATTTCTGGGACACACTGTATACAGTTTGCTAGAAAATTCATGAAAATACGGCTAAAAGTAAAAAAATATAACACCTTTAACTTGACGGAAAAATTCTCCGTTGCGTTTTTTTTGTACATCTGAGTGTATAAACTTTCATTTTAGGTATTGTATTTTTTTGTAATTTACCTAAGTAAACATGAGTAGTGAGAAGAGGTAAGATTGATGAAGTAAGATAGGGGATGTAAAAATAAGCATTAATCTTTCTTCATTATTGAGTTTGTAAACGCGTTGTTGTTCCGCCTGTATGATTGATGAACTGAACTTAAGGAGTGTACTTTAACTTCGATCCTGCCGCATTCTGGCTTGAAATTTTTAATGACGTAGAAATTATTTTACAAAACGCACTGACATTTTTTTTCTATTCCAAATTCTATAGGTATATCACAAATTCAAAATAACTAAATTACACTGGTTGCATGAAAATCGGCACTGTATACGTGACCATCTTAAGCGGGATTTAGTAATCATGACTTCAGTGCTCTCGCAGCTAGCTTTTCCATGGACCGATACGTTTCGAGACATGGTGGTACCATTTGATTCTTAACAGTTGTCTAAGGTGTCTCTGTTGCAACTTGTTTATTGCGTTAGTGTCCCAGCTGTACGGCACTCAGGTTTCGCTTTCATATTGCTCGGTAGGCACACTGCAAGTTTCGTTTTTGTGCTCAAGTTATGATTGTAGAAACCCCCGTATTTTAATTTCCAGCATTCTCTTTAGGAGCTGCTAATTCTGTAGTGAATTTCACAGCCGATATTGACCTTTTTCCAAATCAAACTGCCGCATGCCGAGGTAATTAAATTCCGCTACACATTCCAATAGTTCTTCTCCGATTTGTAATAGCATTGTTATGATTTTCCGGTGCGCATGATTTTAGTTTTATCGATGTTCAGCTTAAGGCCCAAAGTACAAATAAACATTTTTTTTAATTGCTGTAACGTTTTTGCTACTAGAGCGTAGTCATCAGCTTATTGAAGTTCTGTGATGAATTTTGTACATGCTTTTACCCTGAGTGTTTTTATGTTGAACAGACCGCCGCCGCCGGCGCCGCGTCGTCGCACAGTGGGGTATTTGACACTGATAGTTGATCGAAATTTTTTTATGTAGACCTTATATAAATTATTGCTATTTTCAATTAAAGAGAAAATAATATGAACAAAATAAAGGATAATTCGTCGATTCTAAAAAAAGAAAGAAAAATCACTGTTCCAGTGTTTCCACGGTCAGTGCCAGTAGTAATATCGCAACTACTACTAATAATGCTACGACTGATCCGCGAGCAATGCCCATACCACTAAAGTCGCTACTAATGCCAAATTGTGCTATACTGCTAATGACACTAATGCGATCGCTTTGTACACAACAATGCCATCGCGGTTTACACCTCGCATTAGTATATCACTGATTGGCAAATTAGAGGAAACCAAGAATGTTTTTCTCATTTTATCAGCAAAGTCGCAAAAAGTCGCAGTATTTTATTTTACTGTATGAAAGCCCAATGTTTATTAAGTAAAACGTATATAGACAATATGCTGAATTCTTTGAAATGCGCAACTAAATGTCTAAGTATAATAAAAATGTCACAAATTTAATCAAATTTTCTGAACGCCTAACTTTTAGTTGCAAAAAAAATCGTTAGTATAGAGAATATCAAAATAAATAATACGTTTTTGTAGAACACATACCTGCAGCTTGCTGAGCCATTTTCAATCAAAACAATAATATCAACGTAAAAAGAGCACAAGAACAACAACAATTTATAATTTTAAACATAAAATTTAGCCATTTACCTCTTATCTGTGAGAAGTAACAACTTTTACGTTTCGTTGAAACAAATAAATGCAACTAAACACACCCATAGCAACGCCATTCATGGCAGAGATGATTTAACTTATCATTTATCTTTTTTGGGGAAATCTTAAACACATTTGCTTTTTCGAATTTCGATCACCTTTTTCATGCTAATACCCCACCGTGCGTCGTATCTGTATATAATGCCCATTCCTCTTTCCTGCAATTTGCTGTCCACTATAATGAAGAGCGTTGCCATGAATATGTTGAATACGAAAGGCGCTTAGACACATCCTTGCCTAACTCCTGCATTTGTTAGGAAGGGATCCCTCAGTGATTCATGAGATGACACTCTTGACTTGTTATGGAAGCTGTTACACACAGCAAGATAATATTTGTAGGGTACTCCGAACTTTCTCATAATTGCCCAAAGTGCATCTCTGTTTACAAATTCGAAGTTTTTTGTTAGGTCGATGAATGCAACATAAAGTTTACACTGCTGCTCTTTTACTTTTTCCTGTAGTTGGCGAACGGAAAATATGGAATCAGCGGTATCGCAAATGACGTGACAGCCAACAAGTTCAATAAATTGAAAAAATAAAATAAAATAAAAAGAAAGATCATGTACAAAAAAATCAGCAACATAGCTATAAAGAGAGCGACATCAAATTTTACATACATACTGCTTTATTAAAAATTTTCAATTTCTTTTGTAGGTGGAAACCCCTAATCCCAATGTAACTGCGTGGATAGTGAATCTGACGATGCCAAAATACCTCTTCCCTTTCGAACTGAAGCCAACAAATAGCGTAGAATCCGGTAGTTATGTCACCAGTGCCAAATTTCACGGGGAGAATAGCGTCGACCTCGTTTGGTTGAACCGGAAGCAGAACAAGTTTGTTCTTATAACGTGCCGCAACCAAATCAATTATATCTGTGAAGACGTAAGTATTTGCGTATTCTTTACTTAAACAGCACCTCTCATAATAAATGTACGTTTATATTATAATTCTTACGGAATCCGTACTGGGAGAATTATCAGCTCAGGGACTTGGAACACCCTTAAAAAGGAAATACCACTCCTCCAACACCCAGTGGACAGCATGCCAAGAATGTACTACAACTTTGAGAAAGACCTTAATGTAGTATTGATCAATAAAAAGAATTGGAAGAGAGAAACGTTTGCTCAGTATCGTTATTGGTATACTGATGCTGCCAAAACCAATACAGTAACAGCGATTGGAGTGTTTGGGCAGAGAATTAAATACTTCGAAGCAATGTGCACTTACCCTAGCATCCTACAGTCAGAAATCTACGCTATCGAAAGATGCGTACAATTTATCTTAGATAGGGACTATCGGAAACAAAAAATAGCCATCTTATTTGATAGTCAAGCAGAGTTAAAAGCGATCAAGTCAATATCAATCAATTCAAAGTTGATCAAAGCATGCATAGAGAAGCTGAACAAATTAGGCAAAGAAAACCATACACGCAAGGGATTTTTAACAGATTTGTTCTGCCGCAGTCTTTACCTCTCATTAATATCTGTGCATTAGTGGCCTATCGTGGAGAAATATTGGATATATGGCAGTCCCGATTATTATGAAGTCTAACCTGATGAACGATCAGATATGCGCGTTTGTGAATACCAAAATATCTAGGCTAGGATACCAAAATATCTGGAACAACCGGGTCGGCGGATACGGAATGTCATATCTGGACTGCGGGACCGATCGCTTAAAAGTCCCTTGCGTGTATGGAGGGCTATTTTACATGTACCTTTACCTACTTTTAATGATGCTTATTATAAACATTTTGGCGTCTTTAAATTTATTAGGTTTTATTCCATCTTACATCTCCATACGGCTGAATATCATGGTTACCTACGGGTTAAATCTGAATATATATTTCTCTGTGGGCTAGAAACTATTTTTTTTATCGATTCGCCGAATTTCAACTAAAGTTATTGGTTTAAATGTTAAACCACTAAAATCAGAATCAAAAGAAATAACTATTTAACATACCGAAATACAACTATATTATGTATATTTTAACTCTTTTTTATATAGACATTGAGGCCGGACTTTGTTTAGTTAGAATGTGGCTTCTTAATATAACTAATAAAAATATATGAGTATATGGAAAAACAAAGATTAAATTTGTTTATTTATTGCGGCTAGGATACCCAATTTCTTTTACAACTAATCATACCACCCTTAACGCAAACAAAATATTTTTCTTCACAATTCGTTAGCCTCTGATAGCCTTTTTGTAATTTCATAGGGTGAGTCTTAAATAACTACAAATATTTTTAGGGGCAGTAATACATCAATGAGGTTTTTTCCAGAGAAAAAATGTTGAAAATTTAGAGTTTTTTTACTTTTTTAGATTTTTTTGTAGTTTTTAGTTAGCAAAACATAATTTCTTCATAATATGACAACATAGGTAGTAGATTAAATTTACAACAAAGAAAACCCAGAAAAGATTCAATGGTTCTCAAAATTTAGACAAAAAATATATTTTTTTAATGGTTAAAGAAAAATAACTCGGTTATTTTGGACTTATTTGAACAACGGTAAAGAGAAAATATGTATCTTTTATCGAGATCTACCAGCCCTGAAAATATTTGCACTGATTTAAGACTCACCCTGTATAGCTTTCGACATTTTATTATGTTCTCGTTTCCATATTACTCCCATTTTACTAATCGAACAAAACCTGAAATAACTGTTAAACCTCTTTAAAGAAATGTTAATAAAGCTATTTGTTATTAAACCTGTTACTTTTATCTTATAGTTCCATGTGGAAAAAGAACACGACGATATTGGATGGACTGAGGCGATCTTTCACCCAGTGTTTAGTGAGAACGGCACTAAGGCCCTTGTAAAACTTCCAGTGAAGGACGGCATTAACGGGCACTACTTGCACGTGTGCATTGTGGAGAACGGAAAAGTGGTGCCGTTGTCACATGGTCCGTTTGAAGTTATACGAATTTTAGCTTGGGACGAAGAAAATTTTTATATGTAAGTTCTAATATTATAAAATTAAAAGTTAAGGGTTCAATTCTAAGTAACAGTTGATGGTTAGATCCATCGTCCTTTGATATATTACAACAGCTCTGTCTTTTAATTTCCAGAATGCTCTTGAGGCGCTGCTAATTCTGTGCTAAATTTTAAAAGTCGATATTGACCTTTTCTGAAATCAAACTGCCGAGGTAATTGAATTCCACTACATATTCCAATAGTTCTTCTCCGATTTTTATAGCATTGTTGTGATTTTCTGGTGAAGTGCACATGATTTTAGTTTTATCGATGTTTAGCCTAAGGCCCAAAGCCTCGTATGCCCAGCTATATGTGTTCAGCATTTCTTGTAATTGACTAATATATTAATACTATTGTAAGCTAGTGAGATGAAAAAAAAAGAAATAATATCGAGAAAAGATGAAAAATGAATGATTATAAAATGGCTTTTAAATTTCTTACTTTGTTAGTCATTCGACAGGGTGTTTCAAACTTTCGAAAAAATAACATTTTCTTTTCTCGCGTATAATACATGATGTGGACTTAAGCCAAATAATTTAGTTAAAAATTGCTTTAAAGAATCATCAAATTCAGACCACTAGAACGAACTATATTGAACTTTAAGAAAAAAATAAACGAAGAATTATTTTTATTAAATAATAAAATATATTAAAGTATATTCAATATAAAATTCTTATGTGGCAAATCTCGTTCAATATTAGAATCTCATTATTCAAAACCTACATCACTATTATTCAAAGGCTTCAGTTTCAATATTCTTAACCCTTTTTGATATATTTTCCGTTGAAAAGACGTGCTTCGAAAAGTGTATATTTTTCGATGAAAGAAACTTCCATTGTTTTCAATAATTCTTGTTCCCATTCGCACCCTGAACACGTTCCTACCAAGTAAATATATTATTTGTAAATCCTCACTCGGTTCGCGTGGAAAATAAAAAATACGCCATAACGATATTACCAAATCACTTGCTTATACAAAATTCAGTCGGTGTATAACAAGTTTGCCACGTCTGAAAACGTGAGAAGATCAATTCGTTACAAGTATTCGGGAAAGGAAAATTTACCGGAAGCGCATAAAAAAATAATGAAGCTTGTTAGATAAAAAATTCGGCAAGTCTGCGGCGAATATAAACGTTTGTCTTATATCTGCAGCTCGCGAAAAAGAATTATTTATTTTCTATTATGTGTAGTATACAGGGTGGTCTGAACTGTATTCCGGAAACTTCGGCAGCATATGCTGCAGATAAGAATAAGTAAGGAAGTTGTTAAAATCACTTGTCACTCAAATTTTAAATATAATAATTTTCTGCCCTGCGTTCCAATTGTACCAACTTATTTCTTTGTAAAATAAAATAAACTACTTTGAAATTAGAGTGACAGACATATCTATCACTGTCAAGGATTTTGTCATTAGACAGACAGGTTTAGAATATGTTACACTTATGATCTAATAAAACATAAATTATAGTAAACAAGTGTCCAATCTATCTCTGACGTGACATTAGTCTATTATATTGACTCAAATTTCTCATGTCAAAAAACTTCCGGACAATAATTTTCATCCAAATATTGATGTTACTTCATAAATTATATATAGAAAAAAATCTCGAAATAAAAATGAAACTTCTATATCCTGTATCTCAGAAACTAAGCATTTTAGAACATACATTTTTACGAACTTGTTTATTTATTTTTATCTGCAGAATATGCTGCCGAAATTTCTGGAATATAGTTCGGACTACGCTGTATAATAATATACAGGGTTGTGCCTCTCATACGCCGCGGAAGCTCCAAGGAGAACGGTAGTTTATATCGAAATGAAATTTTGGCAGCGTATGTAGGTTAACTGAAAGCATTTTATAAAAATATATAGAATTATACAGGGTGTCCCCCAAAAAAGTTACACATCAAAGTTGTGTTTTTTCTAATGGAACACCCTATATATTAATTGATTTTCGCATTCTAGGAAAAAAATAAAGGTGAGTTTTATTAAAGAAGCATATACCAAAAATCTAAGAATTTTGACATATTTCACATTTTGTGAAAATGAAGAGTAAATTTTAAATTTCGATAACAGCTTCCTAAATTTTAGCTCACCTTGTATAGGCTGACATTTAATTGCAGTAACCATTGTATATTAAAATTTGACCTGAAAAGTTACACAGGATGAGACAAAATTAATATGGAACATTAGTCACTTTAAAAGCAAATTACTCCTTTATTTTAAACAGAACACCCAGTATATTTTCCGGTGTTCAATGGGGAATTTATATATCTTCAAAATATTATTAAGGTTGCCTAACCCTCAGATAAAAATGTTCCTAGGTATCTTAATTTTTATGGTTTTGCGTCAGTAGATCTTTATTAATTGAAAAAATCTAGGTGGCTGAGTGATATACCTTTTGTTAATTTAACAAAAATTAAAGATTGTAGAGTAAAATACTCAACGGTAATAAAAAGATACACGTTTAAAACATATTATTTTAATTATTACAGAATTAAAACTAGATATAGTTTATAATTACGTGATAAAAATTAGCTAGATGAAATCAAATGCTCAAAATGCTTCCTTTCCTGTTATCTTCATAAAATGATTGTCTTTTCAAAAGGATCTTTTCATTTTAATAGACATTTATGTGGAGTTCTACCTCGAAAAGCAGCTACAATAATTTCTCTCATGTTATCAACAATAGTTAGTCGAGTTTTGTAAACACTGTCTTTAACATATCCCCATAAAAAAAACCTAGACTAATTAAATTCAGGAGCATTTAAGAATTCTATTAATTATTGGCGAATGCAGTGTGCAACCAAATCAAACTAACAGAATCATATCAATAATTCTCTCTGATGTAGGATAAGTATGTATTTTCTGCAAATTTCTGAGAATTTTTTTGAGCCACAAAATGATAACTAGTTATTAAAGTTGGACTAATTAGTCAGCTATGTTGAAGTAACGTCAGACATATCACAGCCATCTAGATTTTATCAAATAATAAAGATCTACTCAGATCAAATCATGTAAATGAAAATATCTAGGAAAATCTTTGTTTGAGGGGTAGGCAACCCTCAAACAACCCGGTAACCAATATTCTATATTAATTTTGTCTCACCCTGTATAACTTTTTGGACCAAGTTTTAATTTGGTTTAAAGTACAATAGTTAATTTAACTACATATTAGGCTATACCGGGCAAATCCCAATTTAGGTAGCTTTTATTGTATTTTAAAAATTGTTCTTTATTTCTAGAAAATGTTAAATATGTCAAAAACTACATTTTCAAAACTTATATTTTAGTCATATACTTCTTTTATAAAACTCACCTTTATTTTTCTCCCAGAATCCGAAAATCAATTAATATATAGGGTGTTCCATTTCAAGAAACACAACTTTGATATGTCACTTTTTTGGGGGACACCCTGTAGAACTCTCTATATTTTTAAAAAGTGCTCTGAATTAACCTACATATGCTCACAAAATTTCATTTCAATACAAACTGTCGTTCTCATTGGAGCCTCCGCGGCGTCTGAGAGGCGCCACCCTGTATAGACCATTTTTCCTAAAAGATCTTTATGGTCTTTTATTTTGTTCTTGCAAACTAAACCTTAATACTAACATAACATATTAATATTAGACTTTCACCAGTCGATATAATTTTATATTTTTAATTAAAAGTTTGGACAAAGTTTGAAATATCACAACGATTCCAGCTTTTCGAAGTAAAAACTTAATTGAATTTTTATTATTCATACCTCCTATTTTACTATGGGAATGCATTAAAGTTGGTGCTCGTTGCATTTTAACGACAGGCAGAGATCTCCGGGCAACAAAGAATTCTCATTATTATGCTGGTGACGATGAAAATGGTTTTGAGTTTTTAATATCAAACTTTATTACCTGGCCTTATGATATAGAGCATTACTGAGTAATCATAAAAGTTCAGTCAAAACACATAAAAGCCACAACAGATAAATAAAAATACGTTGAAATATATTTTTGAAGGTAGCAGATAATCATAAATTATTGTGCTGTAATGAACCTAGATCGTATACATAGATAAAAGAAAATAATCTACTATTAAGATAGATACGAAACTTAATAGTAAAATTTTGGGTCAAAGCGCCCCTCCGTGTTTTTAGTGGAGACTACGTTTAACCCAGCGCCTTCGCCTTTTCTGCTGTAAATGTTTTTTATGTTTATATTTGAATTCGAAGGATTTATTTTTAAAGTTACACTGATATATTAGTATATCAGAGTAACTTTAATAAAACATAAGAATATATACAGGGTGTTTCAAAACAAATGCGAAAAACTTCAGGGGGTGATTCCTTGTTCAAAATAAAGGGTAGTTTGCTTCAAAAACGTTGGGTCAAAAGTCAACCATTAGGGAGATATTGCGGTACAAAGATGGCGGAAAAATAATGTTTTTATTTTTTATCTTGAAAACGAAAAGAGATAGACTAATAAAATTTTATGGAAGCATTACTGTTATGAAAACACACTTTCTGGTAATTTTTTCACTTCTTTAAAATAAGTAGAAGGGGTTGAAATAAACTAGCCCTATCATTCTTGTTAACGAAATTTAAAGAAAAATCTTATCAAACACATGCAAAAAAATTAATTTGGATAGCTTAGTTTGTTTAGAAATTAAAAAATAAAATGTAAAGCATTACATGTCAGGACAAAAAACATTTTCTGATAAAGAATCTAGTGGGCTGCTGTAATTTTTTTAGGAAAAAATCTAATCGGCCGCTGTTACTTTTTAGGATGTTCCTAATATTATTTTATTTGACATTACTCTACTGCAATACGTTATTATCTAGATGATTATTATTATCGTTATTATCACTAGATTCTTAATCTAAAAATGTTTTTTGTCCTGACATGTAATGCTTTACATTTTATTTTTTAATTTCCAATCGGCGAGTTTTATCAAAAAAACACAAGAGGTAAAAAAGTTTCTAAACAAACTAAACTATCCAAATTAAGGCATTTGCATGTGTTTGATAAGATTTTTCTTTAAATTTCGTTAACAAGAATGATAGGGGTAGTTTATTTCAACCCCTTCCACTCATTTTAAAAAAGTAAAAAAATTACCTGAAAGTGTGTTTTCATAACAGTAATGCTTCCATAAAATTTCATTAGTCTATCTCTTTTCGTTTTCAAGATAAAAAATAAAAACATTATTTTTCCGCCATCTTTGTACCGCGATATATCCCTAATGGTTGACTTTTGACCCAACGTTTATAAAGCAAACTACCCTTTATTTTGAACAAGGAATCACCCCCTAAAGTTTTTCGCATTTGTTTTGAAACACCCTGTATATTTTACAATTTATTTTTTTATTTATTTTACAGAGTTTCATGTAAATGATCGTAAGTCGACTGGCTGTCTAATGAATAGACCGAGATTTATAGATTTTAAAGGGAACGAAAAAAAATCAAATAACGAATACATACCATATATTTTTCTTTTATCTAAGATACATGCCTTATCGTATTTTCGAAACACGTACATTTTTGCAGTTTTGTTAGTTTCTTTGCAAGATGCAACACAACAAGAAAACACGATTTTTACAGTTAATAAATAATAAAACTATTTCTGACTATGATATTTAAAATTTAGATAGATAGAAAATTAAAAAACAAACCAGTATTTGCAGACGCAGGCCCAAATTCAATAAAAACCAAAATTTTTCCTGCGAAAATCGGGCTTTTTTTCACAGAAAAGGTATTTTTTGATTTATCAGCAGTCATTGTCAAGTTGACAATATACAGGGTGTTTTCGAAATAGTGTAAAAAAATTACAGTGTGATTCCTCATGTGTTCTTAAAACAATTTTTATATAACCATTGGGTCTAAAGTACTTCCTTTCTGATCTACAGGGTGTAAATCTACAATTTTTTTGCTTAACATAAATGGTACACCACTGCTTTTTTAAAGAAAATATATTTTTTTCTTGACTGGCCATCCTTTTTCAACAAAATTGATCTTTTGAGTTTTTCTTGTTCATCAAACGGTTGCCGAGAAAAAAATAAATATACTTATTAAGAGCCCGCCTTAATTCGTTTTCTAACGATTTTTTTATTTTTTAGATTAATTAGGAAACACCCTGTATGTGCATATCACAGACAACCAAATAAACTAGTAACCTCTAAAAATTATTTTTCCTACCACTAGTGACATACTGTGTTTTTAGTGTGTACTAAATTATTTTATCAAAATTTCACCATATAAGTTTCCAGGCAATGATCATATATACTTACGTGGATAAGTAAATCACTATGGAAACTGTCGCAAACATATCAACAACTTCCATTTATCTTATTTTTTTTTGTTGCACACGCGGTGCTTCTACTCTATCTATCCTTGTCAAGGACCCATGGTCCGCGCGCCAAATTTGAACATTAATTTTAAAAACTTAATTTGTAAAATGCTTATATTTGAACAATAAATTGAATGTTTACTGGCACAAAAATTAAATTATATTAAAAAATACATTTAACCGTCCACGAATATCAATATTCTTAGGAAATCTAACCAGAAAGTATGCATGTGGCTTAATATAAATAAAAGAACAAGTGAATACTTCAGTATGAAAAGATTATTCGGGAACCTTTACATTAGAACTTCCACACACCAAACACTTTCTAGCCATTTTTACGAGTATTTAGAAAGTCCAACGAAAAAAAAATAGAAATATTGCACACTTGCATCCTTGGCTATATATAAGCTGTCGATAAAAGAGTAATTAATACAATTTTTAAAATAAAAAAATGCAAAAAACAAGCGTCGTTACACAATGGAAATAATATGACAATAAAGTTATTTGTTGTCAAATTATACATTGTTTCCATAACATACGTCTGAAACCACTAATTTATTCCACTAATTTCGAGGTTCTTAATGAAGCTCTACACTATTAAAATTCATGTTTTTTTTTACAGATACGCTTTAGGCACAAGCCCGAACAACCCAGGTCATCGCCATCTCCTCCGAATCAACAGCAAAATCAACTCGAAAGAAGAACAAGCATGTCTCACTTGTTTCAACGAAACCGAACAGAACACCACAGAGTCAAACCCTTTCAATGAAACAATTCTCAACCAGAACATGTGGCTCAACTACCAGTGCGACTACAATAACGTCATATTAAGTAAAGGCGCCAGTTACTTCATTCAAGAATGTCTGGGACCGGATATACCTATAGTTGTGTTGGCCAGGACGCTTCCTAACATAAGACTGGCCGTTTTGGACACGAGTAACAAGTTGAGGAAGAGGGTGAATAGGTTTTCGTCACCTCAAGAGAAGTCAATTTCGGTGGAGATTGAGTTCGGATATAAGGCGCAAGTGAGACTATATTTGCCAGCTATATTGAGGGAGTACGAGGATACTACCTTTCCTTTAGTCTTGCTAGTGTAAGTTTCGTTAAAGTATTTGTTTAAATTTATATTGAAATTGTACTTAAGCATCATTATCATCATTTTCAGATTATTCAACCATTTCCAATTATGGTGTAGCCTCCCTCAAATATTTAATTCTCTTTGTAATTGTGATTGGGTCCATGGTTGTCTATGGTTCGTCCTTCTTACCAGGTGTTCTGCCCATTGCAACTTCAAAGATTTGATTCCGTGGATGACATCTATTACCTGTGTCTTTTGTCGTATGCACTCTATTCTTTTACGGTCTCTCTTGGTTATTCCCAGCACATCTCGTTCCATTGAGAGTTGTGCGACCTGCCGTTTCCTTATAATGTCCGTTTTAAGTGTCCAGGCTTCGCATGCATAGGTTATGATTGGTATAGTAAACGCCACGAAAGTTTGGGAGTGATTCATCGCTTGATGAAGTTAGAATCGACACGCGCGCTATCATTTTTACATTAAAAACGTAAATTTTTACCGCAGACGTAGGTTTTTAAAAGCCCGGTCTGATCATCTGCCTGCGCTCCTCCTACAATTGACAAAGATGATACTATACAGTGTTTCTTTGATTGATTCGTTTTTGTGCGTTAGTCCATTGGTGTGCTTGCAGTGCGAACAATGGGGCATTCCAGTTTACATTTATAACCAAATATATGTTTTGACCTTTGAATAAGAAGACTAAGGAAGGAGCATATCAAAAATCTTAGGTCCACCGCGATGGGCCTCAAATATGGCCGACTTAAATTCCGGTTTATCAGTGCCGTTCTAATTTTATTTAAAAAATGTAAAACTATGATGTAGGGTAGACGTGGGGTAGACTCAATAATATGTTGTTTTATTTTACGTTGTGAATAAATGTTGGTAGTTATTAAAATTGTTACAAAAATATATAATTCTAATAAAAATAGATAAGTTATAATAATTATTATTAACACAAAAATCCGATACGCTACTGAAGCTGGTAAATCAAATTGACGTATCTAAATTCTTTGACATCTAATCTTTGACAAGTAGTAAATAAAAGCAAAAATGCAAGAAAAAATATATAATAAGTTAATTTAAGTGAATTTCATAAATGATCGGTTTACTACACGTATGTATATTATATAGTCACTTACTAGCGAAATGTTCCATTATTTCACTCGATTTTCGCCGAGATCTATCGCATGCTACACAAATAACTATTTTACAGTCTTTTTCGATAAATCGCAATAGTGTCACTGTTAATTTAAGTTCTGACACAATTTCCATCTAGATTTACTACCTTTATACAACTATCAGTAGTAGAATAAATAATAAATAACATAAAATAAGCTCCGTAAAGACTGACAAATCCACAAAATTTCAAATCAAATTCAAATGTGTCAAATGAATTGTCAAACAAAACTGTCAAGGATCCCCACCCTAGAGTCCTTTTTCCGCCCACCATGCATGAATACATGGATATCATTATGCTCCTTCCTTAGTCTTCTTATTCAAAGGTTTTGACAAGACTTTGACAGTTAAAACAACAAATTACAACAGATTATATATTGATTATTATATGATTTGAAACACCATGACACTGGAATTAAGTTTTATGTGACCTTGAACAGATTAGTTCACATGGTAGCGACCGATGAATCACTCCCAAACATTCGTGGCGTTTACTATAGTACATTTTGGTCGAATGTTTTTTTCTTTAAGTGGCCACTCTAGATTTGAATATGATTGAGTTTCTTCCATATGTACTCCATGCTTGATCAGTGTCCGGTATATAGGGTGTTCTACGCTGATCTCAACGAGATCTATCGATTAAAATTACCCTTCCTCTATTTCCATACTGAAGCATTTAATTTTCCAGTTTTTTGGATATCACGAAAACGAACTTTGCTCCTGCGCCCTGTTTTTAATTCTTCAAATTTGATACTTTATTTTTCAAATCATCAATTTTTTCAGAGACGCATCACCATCCTCGCAGACGGTTTCCTCCAAATGGGAAGTATCGTGGCCCTGGTACTTGACCAGTACCAGAAACTACATAGTGGCCAAAATCGACGCCAGGGGGTCCGGTTTCCAGGGAGTCAAAATGCGTCGAGAAATCCAGAGGAGGATAGGACTGATCGAAATACAAGATCAACTGGCTGTGCTTACTTATCTACGCGATACGTTCAAATTCATCGACAGGGAGAAGATATGTACGGTAGGGAGGGGGTATGGTGGTTACGTGGCAGCCATGATGCTCCTGCAAGATTTCCATCAAGTGATTAACTGTTCCGTTAGCATATCGCCTATCACTAATTGGAGGTATTATAGTAAGTATTAAATGCAGGGTGTTTTGCAAAATTGGCTCACCCCTATAACTCTTAATTTTTTCAGATAAACAAACGAGATTCGGTATCTTAGTATATGACATAAGTTGTGAATGTTAGAAGATTACAATTAGCTTCTATCACTTGTTCACTTATCCTGTTTTACCGGAAATGACTACAACTTTTTATTTTTAAATGGTGACTTAAATTTTAATCTAGAGTGCAATGATGATGTTAAAACCATTAATTTTTAATCAAGGAGTCTTGAAAAAATAGATTTGATCGTATAATGTTTTTCGTGTCTTTTCCTGGTCGGTTAGAAGATGTCTAAATCGTACTTGGCATATTTGGAAACGGCATTTTTTGCGAATAATTGGGTACCACGCACTTAGTATTTCGAGTCAAATTGTCGTTATGAACCGCATGTTACAATTTCAAATAAACCATATGCGAAAATGTCAAAAGTAGACATATGCTATGTCATTCTATTCATTGTCATTTTCTATCGAATAAAGTAAAAAATACCAAAAGTTGTAGTCACTTCAGGTGAAACAGGAAATGACCAAAAACAATTGAATACGTTAATCAATCTTAATTTATTTGATATACTAATAATACTAAATACCAAATTTCGTTTTTTTTATCTGAAAAAAATAAAAAAGTTATAGGGGTGAGCCACTTTTGAGAACGCATCCGGTAATATTGTATGCCCCTTTTTATTTTGTCTCTCTGTCTGTCAACTGGTCGTATATATTTATCTCTGTCATATGCATTAACGTACTTATGAAGTACGTTTAAAGTTAAATGTTTTCTTTTTGTATATCTTCTTTTTCTTCTATATTATTCTTATCTGTGTATTCTATGCATACTATATAGTATTACATACCTACTTCACTTTTTTTGGTTATCGTATACATATAGCAGATTTCTTGCTAATACTATAGCAATATTCTCTGCAAATAAAGAAGTATATATTACTATAGGATATTTCTTTTCCAGATTCATTTTTTGCCGAAAAATATTTGGGGCTACCGTCTAAACATCCCTTGGAGTACGAAAATGCAGACTTAACAATGAAGGCAGGCAAAATTAATAACCGCAACTTTTTATTGATATATGGCACAGCAGATACGCGGATCACGTCGCAGCACTCTATCATGCTTTCCAAAGCTTTAATAGAACAGGACGTCTTATTTCAACAATTAGTAAGTTTATATGTTAATAAAGAAACAGGACTACATAATCAATTCCAAAGATTTTTATTACCGTTAGATATGAATCGGCCTCTTTAAATTTACGCTTTTTCCAATGGGATTCTTTGTGGACAACCCCGGCTTCCGACCATTTTCTGTTGTGGTGCTTGGACCACACATGATCTGCAATGCCCGATTTCATAGTTTACCCTATTTGCGTATGTTTTTTATGTTCGTCGAGTCGTACATGTAGAGGACGTTTTGTATTTCCAATATACGACTGACCGCACTCGCAAAGTACCTGGTAGATGCACTGTATCTCTTGTTTTGATGATTCCGATTTTGTTTTTGTTAGAACACTTCTCAGAGTAGCCCTAGATATAAAAAGTTTTAATTTTATATTGCTTGGCTATTCGCCTTATCTTCGCCGATGTTCTTCTCTGATGTCTCTAAGACCTACTCTCAGAGGATCGTCTAGCCCGCCTGGTTGACCCAGGCCGGGTAGACGAAACGATAGCTTGTGTCGCTTATCGGGTCTAGAGGCAGGCTAGAGACCGACCCTCGCTGGAGAAGGTGGTAGCTCGTGTGCCACTTGTGGAGGATGATCCCAAGCAAGTGTCAGCCACCCCTCTTGTAGTTTCCTTTGGATTTGGTCCATTGGAACTTTCATTTGTAATGTTCCCAGTGTCGCTAGGGGTTTTCCTCGCAGCTTCACCGGTGGTGTTTTGAATGCTAGATCTCATAGTGTTCCCACGAGTCGCTAGGGATAGTAGGTCCACTTCTACAGAGCCCCGCATGTAGAAGTAAAGGGTAAATACAATGGGGTGCCCCCTGATGCCCCAAAGTTGAGGCCAGTAATCTCTATCTAGCCACACATCCCTTTGACCTGGTCCCGCCATCGTAGTATTTAGGCTTTTAGTGCGGTTGTCTCCTCTTGGTCCAGACGGTTAAGCCAAGACCCTCATCTCAAAGTCAAAACCAAATCTTTGTATCTCTACTCATAAACCTTTTTAAAAACATGAAAATGGAATAACCTGTGCATAAAAATATACGAAATATTGAGTGATTTGTTGTTTCAGACATACCCGGACGAATCGTATGAATTCAGTCAAAAGGCGCGACTGCACATGTTCAAACAGATCGATCTCTTCTTCAACGACTCCTTCGGACCCGTCATCGATGAATGGATAGACGACACGGGCTTCTTCATTTAATGCAGGCTTTACCGTAACCACGTTATAATTAATTAGTTCGCGAATCTCAACTTTCGAAAACAGTTTTTCTAATTCTATCACATCCTCTAGATAAATTACATTTGATCTGTAACGATACATCGTTTTTTCAGAAATGGAAAGTCTCTATTTAAGTGAATGTGATAACTTGGCAAAGAGAGATTGACTCTTGAGTATAGTTTATTAAGGTGCAGCAAAAAAACAACATATGCTTTCTTTCTTAGTCCAGTAAATGAATTTACAGTTGGGGGTTGGAACCTTTGGTGTTACACAGCAAAATAAAACACTAAATCACCACAATACACCAAAACATTTTACTTTTACACTGGACGCGCGTTTCGCTAACCATGTTAGCATCCATCAGATGATTAAAACTAAACTATAATCTACAATTTGAGCGTTTATATACTCGCTCAGTGGGCACCGAGTGGACGTGGCAAGATCTACCCAACCGAGTCAGAGCCCACCGAGCGTAACAGTTAGATTTCCGCCACTAGAGTTGTCTCTGTTCATACTATCTTTACATTTATTAATTCTGATGCTTTCATATGCATCTAATTGCCTGTAATTTGAGACTTGTTTAATTAATTTTAAATTATTAAGATCTATACAATGTTCTTTATCAACAATATGTTCAGCAACGCAAGATTTATCCGGTCTACCATATCTTATCTGAGCTAAATGTTCTTTAAATCTAGTTAATATTGATCTTCTAGTTTGCCCAACATATTTCTGATTACAATCATTACAAGAAATTTCATAAATACCCGACTTTTCCAATGGAGGTGTTTTATCTTTAGAATTACCTAATAATTGTTGTAATTTATTATTAACACCATAGACAAGTTTATAATTGAAATTCTTAAAAATTGATTTTAAACCACGGGATAACTCTCTATCAAACGGTATTGAAAAATATTTTGTATATCTCCACTTGAAAAGTCGAATTTTCAGAAATCCCAAACTTATACCTACGTTTTCTAATTATTTTATCAACTAATGAATATATCCATTATACTCAGCTACATTCCTAATGTAATCTTTCTATTTCATATCATTCGTTGGTAAGTGGAAAACTAACTAACCTATGAACTAAGAAATTTAAACTAGCCATTTTATGTTCAACACTATGATGTGACTCATTAGGAATATAGCTGTATGCAGTATTTTTTCTATAGATGTCAAATTCCAGGCAATTACTAATATTTCTAATAACTAATACATCTAGAAAAGGTAATCTATCGTTGATCTCAATTTCATAGGTAAATTTAATGAAAGGAAAACTTTCATTAAATTTACTTATGTTAAAAATTTTAATTATATATTTTTTTCTTGCATTTCTGCTTTTATTTACTTCTTGTCAAAGATTTTAGATGTCAAAGAATTTAGATACCTACGTCAATTTGACTTAAGCTTGATTTTCATGCATCCGTTGTCCGACGATACGATGATACGATACTAATTTTATTGGTTGAATTTAAAGAGTTGGATTGGTTAGAAACGGTTAACCAATCGAAGCCTTTAAATACAACCAATGAAATTAATATCGTATCAACGTATCGTCAGACAACGGATGCATGAAAATCAAGCTTTACCCGCTTAAGTAGCGTATCGGATGTTTATATTAATAAATAATTATTATAACTTATCTATTTTTTGTTTAGAATTATATATTTTTATAACAATTTTAATAACTACCAACACTTAAACGTAAAATAAAGCAACAAATTATTGAGTCTACCCCACATCTACTCTACATCATATTTTTTCACGTTTTGAATAAAATTAGAACGGCACAGATAAACCGGAATTTAAGTCGGCCATTTTAGAGTCCCGTCACGGTCGATCTAAGATTTTTGATATGCTCCTTCCTTAATATTTTTATTCAAAGGAATCAATTATAAACTTTACTCAAGTACGCCAGTTTTTATATTTGTCAAGTTATATATCATAATCTTGTACAAGCTGTGGTCAAAATTATGTGTACTTCCGTTATCAATATTATCTTAAGAGGTATTTAGTAATATTGATCAAAGCTCAATGTAGTAGATTAGTTTTTGTCGCTCCAAAACCTTCTATTTGCCAATAAACTCAACCAAAATACGACCAATGCGCTAACTGCATTCAAATAGACGTCTGATTCTTCTCAAATCGTATTGTTAAATAATGCAGAAACAAAATGTTTACAAAATTTAATTTTCATAAAACTTGAATAACGAAACTAAAAGAATGAAAATAATTACACAACATATTAAAAAAAATATCTCACAATTTTTCTTCCTTATACGTATAACTGATATGATTTTAATCATATTATTTTAAACATTGTGCCAAAATAACTTATTAAATAAACTACATTTTCTAATTTTCTTTTCGTATTAATAAAGAAGTTTTAAGACGTGAAAAGTCAAAATTTATTAATGCTGTATTTTTTACAAACTATATATTGAAATCTGCTGGGTCTATTTCTTGAAATAATCAACTAGTAGTGGTAGAGTGGTCGCAAACAAAAAAATAGCCAAGAGCAGTGATGGGTGGTTGGTAATATACCCAAAATTCGGGTATAAACCCAGACGGTCTAGGGTACATAGCCGCTGAAGAATATTGTAGATACACACATGGCCAAAATTATTGCCATATAACGTTACTTTTATTTTATTTTGGACCTGATAAGATTATTTTTATATTTTTGAACATAATGGCTTACTATACGACTAACTAATATAAAATTAATAATCAAGTGCAACTAGGCTGTTATTATAATTTTATTTCATAATGAGTGAAAATCAACACAAACAAATTTCATTTTAAACAGAAAATATTGAAAACAATTTTAATTATTTCTCACAATTAATAGTCTGTATTGCCTCCTCGAGCCTCAATGCAAGCTGTGATACGACGTGGCATGCTCTCAATTAAGTTGTCCAGAAGATGTTGAGGAATGGCTTCCCATGTTTCGCGCGCAGCAATTTTCAATTCATTTAAGGTACGGGCGGATCATTCCTTTTGGCAATATGGCGTTTTAGCATGTCCCAAGCATGATCACATTCACCCACGATCACATTCATAACTGGAGACACCGATGGCCACCACAGTTTTCTTTTACCCTCTTTTTCACAAAATTCGCGAACCGCTAAAGTGCGATGGGGAGGAGCATTATCGTCCATGTAAACAAATTCATCCCCCACTGCCCCTCGAAATGGACGCACAATAGGCTCTAAAACGTCTCTAAGATATGAGGCAACTGTCATTGTGCCATCAATAAAAACAAGAAGAGTTCGAGCTCTGTGCATTATACCTGCCCATACCATAATGCTTCCACCTTGAAACGGGTCACGGGTTGAGCTGCATTCAAGCGTGCTCGTCTTCCAAATGCTCTCCAGACCAAAGTTTGTCGCAAGTCCGACACTAGGCCTATTCTTGTTTCGTCACTAAACATGACTAAACATTTCGTCACTAAGCATTCCAATTAGGTCCATTTGCTCTCTCATCTCCTCAGTCCATTGTAGTCGCGTAATTTAAATCTGTAAATTAAACTTCGGAACACGTAGAGGCCTTCTTAAATGCAATCCTCTGTCATGGAGTTTTCTTGCTATGGTCTTTCATGAATCATTTATTCCTTCAAGCGAGTTAACTCATTTTTAATAGCAGTACTAGAAAGCAGGGGATTGCGTCGTGCAATTAGGGATATTTGACGGTCTTGCACAGCAGTAGTAACTCTATTTCTATCTCTTCCAGGCCGGTCTGTAACCTCGTTTGTCTCCCTGATTTTTTTAAATATTCGCGAAACATCGCTTTGGTTAACTCCTACAATTTCAGCTATTGCAACTTGCCGGTAGCCCTGTTGAGACAGTGTTACTATTCTGACTCTATTAAACTGTGAAATAATGTTTCTAGACATTTTAAGGCCAAAACAATCGTCAAATTTCTTCTGAAACCCAAGAGACCACAACATCGAAATGTGCAAGAATTTGTAATAATATTGTGTCTGAACGATAAACATTGTTTACCATATCCATTTTAACAAAAAAAAATATTACAGATTATCAAAGCTATGTATAAAAAAAGATTCTTTAAATTCCTTTCCGTATATACACACAACCAAACTTATATGGAATCACTCTTTATTTTTGACTAAATTTCTTGCAAGGATAAAAATTGGTATACAACTTTAAGATAAGGCTATTTGTTGTTAATAAACATGATAATAAAGAATAAAAGACTGCTGCGATTTATTTTGTTTTGAATTTTGTGTTTGTAATGTAAAATCACGATTGTCCGGTAATTTTTATTCAATCCAAAAAAAATAAAAAATGCCTTATGTTGGATAAACAGATGTACAGAGGGGAAGAATTATTGCTCTCACCGAACAAGGAATGTTCCAGAGAGACGTAGCAGAGGCGTAGTAGGCGTTACCCAGGGTGTTGTATCAAAAACATATGGAAGGTACTTGGAATTAGGAACACACACGGATAGGCCCAGACAAAGTCGTCAAAGAGTCACAACTGAACAACAAGACTGCCTTGTATGCTAAATTGCTAGAATAAATCCCAATGTTTCTCATCCAGAGCTACAAAGACAACTTCTGGCAGCTACAAATGTGAACGTTTCAGTTGAAACCATAAGAAAAAGGCCTCGTGCACGAGGGTTTTACAGTAGGAGAGAGTTACGGATCCCACAGTTATCTCGACAAAATAAAATTGACCGGCTAAATTGACGCCTTCAACATCAAAACTTGAGAAATGGCAAAATGTTCTTTTTTCGGATGAGAGCAGTATTGGCCTAAGATCAGATAATCATCGAATTCGGGTTCTCAGAGCTCCAGGAAGACGAGAGAGACTTCAAGCTGCCAAATCTGTACACAAGATATAAAGGAGGAACTGTAATGTTCTGGGGAGGTATCATACTGGGAGCAAAAACTCCATTGTTAACGCTTCAACAAAGTTTAACGGGTCGGAGATATGTTGATTTGGTGCTAGAACTAATCGTTAGTCTTTGGAGAGGTGCAATTGGGGATCATTTTAACTTCATACACGATAGTGTACCTCCCCATACCAGCAGAGTGACTAGAGAATGTCTTGAAACGGAAGGTGTCATAGTTTTGGACTGGCCTGCCTATTTATCAGATCTAAACCCTATCGAACACTTGTGGGACTAGCTCAAAAGAAGGGTTAGAGCTCGTCGAAACAATCCAGAAAATCTCGCACAGCTTATTGATGCAGCATTAGAAGAGTGGGAAAACATACCCCAAAACAACGTGGATAATTTAATAAAAAGCGTGTCAGCGCGG